GCCTCGATAAATCTCACCTAGCGCCATTGAGCTGGCATATTTTGCGTGATTAATAAAGCCTCAGATCGAACAAACTACCTTCGAAATAATCCAGAACATTTGAACAACTTCAGGACTATTAAACACCCGAAACATTATACGCACAGGTTTTGTTTACAGCGCACCAAACGAAAGGGTGTATAAATGTGCTTTAGAATCATATATTCTTGTCAACAAAGATTACGGATGCCGGGTCAGGGCAATGTTATGGAAAAACCATGTCATGTCGAGGCCAAATCACCTCATCGAGTCTTATTTGTCCGCCCTTCCCGTCGACGTTTCAAAAGGAAGTATTTCGTGTGTCCATCTGACTGCTACGCTCACGGCCTACTGACATTCTTATTCTGAGTGTATCAAAGCGCGCTGGCTCAACACCTGCAAGCTGATCCCACGCTATCGTGGATTAACCTGGAGCGTGGCCTTGTATGGTATAACTGACACGGAATGGCAGGCAGTCAAACCTTTCGACGAATTACAGCAAAGCGGCCAAAAACAAGGAAGAAAACTGCGAATTACTGCGAGAGGAGGCAGATATTGTCCTGCAGGTTTCAACAAGGCAATGGCCTAACCTAACTTCGAACAGCTTTACCCACGAAAGTCTTAATTAATCGTTAGTCAGATTTTCACAATTTGATGTACCTACCTAGTACGTATGGGATTCTTTTGTTGGGACAGATTCCCGTGGACAGAATGAGATGCTTTTGCTCCATCCCCCACACCACGCGCTGCATGTTTTAAAACATGGATACTTGGGGTGGTCACGATATTCGGTCGAAATTGATTATTTGTGCATCTCCTGCTCGTAATGGGAAGCTAGAAGTTCATGTGTAAGAGTGGAAACTACAGCACAATGTGAAGTTTTCCTCCCGGTCATATCGATCCCTCTGCCGGAAGTTGTGTGTGTTCGCTCACAGCAGTGTAGCGGTCCCTCTGCCGGAAGGTGCATGTGTTCGCTCACAGCAGTGTAGCGGTCCCTCTGCCTGAAGGTGTATGTGTTCGCTCACAGCAGTGTAGCGGTCCTCTGCCGGAAGGTGTGTGTGGTGTTCGCCCACAGCAGTGTAGGCGTGCAAACGAAATGTCGCCTGACTTAAGGATGGCCACCACGCACGACGCGTATGAACATATTGTCTCCATCTTCAGAGCCACACCATCTCCGGGCTCCGTCCGTACACGCAGTACATCATCTCGATACAAGTGGAGAACCCGGCTGGCCTGGGTCCCAGCTCCACGGTCGTGGTCACCACGGACGAAGGAGGTAAGAGCTGTCAGTCTCTCTTTTCCCATTCTTTTTGGTTAAAACTGGGTATGTGCATTATGATAAGACTGTTGTCTGCACGTTGTAACCAAGGGTTAATGATTGATGTATAAACACTTGATCTTGTGCTGATACCGTTCGCTGTTTGGGTTACTCCGCCAGTCCTGCCTCTTGACGGGCATCTGCGCCGATCGCTGTTTGGGTTACTCCGCCAGTCCTGCCTCCTGACCGGCATCTGCGCCGCTCGCTGTGTGGGTTACTCCGCTAGTCTTGCCCCCTGGCCGGCATCTGCGCCGCTCGCTGTGTGGGTTACTCCGCCAGTCCTGCCTCCTGACCGGCATCTGCGCCGCTCGCTGTTTCAGTTCCCCGAAGCGCCACGGCAAGTGTCTGTCGTGAACGTGACAGATACCACGGTCACCATCTCGTGGCTGGCTCCGAATCGCCCCAACGGCCTGATCGAGGGTTACCGTATCTACTTCACTACCGGCAACTTCACCAATGCCACTTGGCTCAAGCTGCCCGTGGATGACATGCAGTACACGCTGAAGAATCTAGGTCAGTTGGTAGACTGCGGTGGTCAGAGGTTTTGCGTAAGTACCAGTGTTAACGTGATGTCAATGTGTGTTGTCCCCCTCGTTACAATTAGCAGCCTATTTTTTCGCTTCATTAAGTATTACGAACAAGACTGAAACCTTTGGCATGATGCCTTTACTCATTTCCAGGTCGCAGGTTTGATCAAGGAGTGGTGGTTGGTTGTCGACATTCGCGTTCCCGTAATGTCACGTTTGAATTGGCCGACATCACTCCCGTAATTCACCATCATCTGTCCAGCTATAGAGCTACTTCATGCGGCAGTGACAAGCTGATGTCATACGATCTCGGTCAATATATCTCTCTGAACTGGGACGGACGATCGCCTGTCTATTTTGATGTTCCGAACTGCTTTATATCTGATAACTTGGGACAGAATTGGATGGGGTGTTTCCATTCCGATCCCCGTCGTTCCATTATTCAATATCCAGTACATAAAGTGTACGCTAACCGGTCATGAAAGTAGTTTTCGACATATTACGATAACTAATTATGTTGCCGGCGACAGCGGCTTGTGCAATGACCAGTCTCGGAAGATGAGCCTGAGGGCTCGACATGCCGCTTAGAAATTAGCGCGGCTGGAATCCAGCCACCGTTCAGATGCACGAGGGCGATGTTCCATGTCTCGCTTGACTTTGCGAGAATTGTCCTCACTCCCAGGCTTGCAGTACACGAAATGCTTCGTTCAGAAGTGCAGAGGACTGGGACCACGCTTGTCATACGGGATACACTCACCACTCGGAGCCCGATGCTCTCACCATTCGGAGCCCCATACCCTCGCCACTCGGAGCCCGATGCTCTCACCATTCGGAGCCCCATACCCTCACCACTCGGAGCCCGATGCTCTCACCATTCGGAGCCCCATACCCTCGCCACTCGGAGCCCGATGCTCTCACCATTCGGAGCCCCATACCCTCACCACTCGGAGCCCGATGTTCTCACCATTCGGAGCCCCATACCCTCACCACTCGGAGCCCGATGTTCTCGCCATTCGGAGCCCCATACCCTCACCCCTCGGAGCCCGATGATTTCACCCCTCGCAGCCCGATGCTCCCACCACTCGGAGCCCCACACCCTCACCACTTGGAGTCCGATACTCTAGCCACTCAGAGCCCGATACCCTCACTACTCGGACCCGACACCCCACCACTCAGAGCCCGACACCCCCACCACTCAGAGCCCGATACCCTCACCACTCAGAGCCCGATACCCTCACTACTCGGAGCCCGACACCCCCACACTCAGAGCCTGATACCCTCACTACACGGAGCCCGATACTCTCACCACTCGGAGTCCGATACTCTAGCCACTCGGAGCCCGATACGCTCAACACGGAACCCGATGCCCTCACCACTCACTGATCGCGGTGCCGCATTTACTAAACATATGCATGACTTCACAACACAAAGCCTGAGAAAGGTACGTTCAAATTATGGCAGTCTTTCCTACTCTACGAGTTGGCCTCTGGAGAAAACTCGGTCGAACAGGTGACCTTAGCCTGTGGGTCCCTCCGGAGCCCGATGTGCAGTTAGGACGGCTGGAGCTGAGAAAATCCGAGCATGGCATCCGAGACTGAACCGCCAGGCTCATCGCCACCCTCGGCCTGCAGAGCCCTTCTCCAACTACTCGATCGCGGTGAAGGCGTTCACGCGGAGCGTGGAGGGCCGCGAGTCGGCGGCGCTGGCCGTCACCACCGACGTGTCGGCGCCGGCCGCACCGCGGCTGACCTCGCTGGCATGTCAGCCGACGCGGCCCTGCTGCTCGCCTGGCGACCGCCGGGCCGCGTCCGGGGCCGCATCGACTTCTACGTGGTCGGCTACCGGACCGGCCAGGCGGCGGCGCTCACGGAGCTGCAGGTCACCGCCGACTCGGCAGAGCAGGAAAGCATGGTGAGCCACGCAGTGGGTCTTAATTCACAGGGATTGTCTTTATGATGGGTCTGGATGGTCATGGGGCGAACGTGCTAGGTCTGGTTGGGACTCAACGGGGCGTGGTGTATATTGGGATTGCGGCGGCACAGTCAGTGAGTTGTTCCGGCAGCGTGCTTTAGTTGTCTCAATGTATCACATCCGGTTTCTCACCACGTCTCTGGACCAACGTCGCCCTTGATTCAGGTGCCGTCCAAGCTCCCTCACCGTCTTTGTCCGCTCTCTCTCTCGGCCAGTTCCTTCTGCCGAACCTGACCGCTGGCGCGGTGTATGAGGTGCGCGTGCGTGCGGCCACCCGCTCCCTACACC